AATTTGACTTAAGTGTGTCATGGAAACTTGCCCTTTGTCTTGCTGCTGATGCCCATTTCAATCTCTTTGGCTCAGCAGTTTAACGGAGATAAATGTCAAGTGACTGAGATCAGTTTGGGGAGGATCAGAGCCGTTGTTTGAGCCCCAGGAGTGTGCAAAAAAGGCTTTATAAAAACCGGGTGACTTTGCTGTTTAACAGAGGGGCTGTATCTCAGAAACCCCTTGTTCAAATGATCCCAAATTTAGATCACTAATCTTAACAGGCATCCCCATGAGGCAAACTAAATTTAGGACAATCTGAGTCAGCACATGGACGATAGGGCAGTCAGAAAACCCAACCTTTTACTAGAAAGTGCCGTTCAACCTGAACCACAGAGGAGTTCCAGCTCTCCTATAATGTCATACGTTGGCCCAGTTACAACCCAGGGGGTCAGTTCTTCTCCCTTATGTGATGGGAACCCCCTCCCCATCCCCTGTCCTTGGACACGGGCTCAGATCCATACTAGTTCTCCGCACGGCCGCAGCTCACCCCGATGGCGTAGCGGATGACCCCAGCTCTCTCAGCCTCAGGTATGACGTCCGAATAAGAAAGTGGGTCATTGTATTTCTGTCCATCTGTGATCACCATGAGAATCTTGGTGGCTTCACCCCGAGCGCCTTTCCCAGAGGTGAACAGCTCCCGCCTGGAAAAGGGGTGGGTGGGGAATGCATGGGAGGGTTATTGATACATAATAACACCTAGGGCTCGTCCACTGCTTTGGCATTGCAGATCACAACATCCTTGACAAAGGAGGCCACTGTCATTGCCTCCATTTTATGAATGGGGAAACTGAGGCACACAGTGCGGCTGTGACTTGTTCAGAGCTGGCAATAGACCCCTGGAGTCCTTGCTCCCAACATCGCCCTCCCCGCTCTAACCTACAAGTGCCCACTCCCCTCCCAGAGTCAGGCACAGAGCCCAGGAGTCTGATGCCCAGCCCCCTGCTCTAACCACTAGTCCCCAGTCCCTTCCCACAGCTGGGGATAGAACACAGGAGATCTGAGTCCCTGTCCCTTAGCTCACATGTCCTTACAGCCCATTCCCTGTGGAGTCAGCACGGGGAGCAGGGCAATACCTACACCACTTTCCGGATGGCTGTGGCCGTGTGCGTCGTTCCATGAAGCTGCTCAACCCCTTGGAGAAGGTGATCAGGGTCACGACTCCCCCTGTATTCCATGAAGTTGAAGTGCAATTTAAATTTATTGGAGTACTGCATGAGGGCGAACTGCAAGGGGAGGCAGAGGAGAAGAGAGAAAAACAACCCCAGGGGTGGAAGTTCAGAAAAGCAGGAATCAGACTCAGTTAAGGGCTGGGGCAGGCGGTCAGGATGTAGCTGGTTCTGCAGGAATTTTTTCCTGGTTTTGGATGCAAAATCTATTGCTGCTCCCAGCGGCACAGCGCCCCCTAGTGCTGAACTGGGGCATTGGGGTCAGCACTGACTGTGAGGGGCAGGGTACGTAGTCAGGGTTCAGCCTCTGCCTGTTACCTGCGTGTCGGTTTTGCGGAAACGCTTCATGATTTCAGATACAAACATCTTCATCTTTCCAAAGTCCACAGGTGCGATGCTGCCCGAGCCGTCGATGAGGAGCGCTATGTCTGCGACATGTTTGGGGCACTCTGAGAGGGACAGGAATGAAGTAAGTCCTGACTCAACTCCACAAACATGGGAAACGCATCAGAAAGAGCTAGACCAGACCTATGGCGCATCTAACCTGATATCCCACCCCCTGCCGGCCACCCCAATCAGGCCACCCTCGGCCCCTCTGTTGTAATATCATCCTGTCCCTGCCATGGAGGGTCCCTGAGAGTAGAGCATGACAAGCACTGGGATGAAAAAAATGCATGCACCCCATCCGCCTCCCAGAGCTGGGGACAGAACCCAGAAGTCCTGACTCCCAGCTCCTACTGACATCCTGAATCAAACCAATGAGCTCACTTAGCCTGCTATCCCACCCCCTGCCAGACCCTGGGCCCCGCCACCTTCCCATGGCCTGTGTACCCACCCATGACTCCAGGGTGTAAGTGGCCCCCCCACACCACTGTGTTACCCCTCACCTGGCTGGGTGTCCGGGATGCGCTGGAGTTGCGAGAAGCTCTGCTGCAGGGGGTAGCAGTTGTGACTGACGTACTTGTTCTCCCCACAGGCCTGATGCACTTTGGGGCCGCACACCTGGGGCATGAGAAGGACGGGGTCAGTAGGTGCCCCTCTGAACAGAGCACTGAGGGTGGGGGATAGAGCCTGGGGCCTGATCCCTCCCCATACATGGATATGCAGGGAAAGCCCCTGCCAGGGCAGGAGCCCCCTTGGGGTAGACAGGTCCCAGCACCGAACTCCGAGAGGAGACAGGGGAGTCACACGGGGCCATCACCTGCTTACCACACTTCCTGCTATAGCAATGTCCAGTCACTGTTGTCATGGCAATGTCACCCGCTTGCTATGCTTCTTGATATGTCCATGCACAGTCACTGTCACCATGGCGACAAGCCAGTTACTACACTTCCTGGTACATCAGCACACAGTCACTGTCACCATAGCAACATCAGCCAGTTGACTCCATCCCTCACAACATCATCTCACAGGGTCACTGTTGCCAAAGCGAGGATATCTGTCTACCACCATTCCCCACTGCATCCTTGTACCACCCCTCCAGTTACAGGAGTTACCAACAGCCCTCGCACACTTATCGTGTCGTCATGGGGATGTCACCCAATTGTCACCTCTGCACCATTGCTTTAGTCACGCTGACACCGCCCAGTCACTACCATCCATGAGTATTGGGGTTTGGGGAGGGACCTGTCCCCTGGAATGATGAGGGAGAAAATGTCGGACCCCAGTCCCAGCACCCATCTGCCCTGGGTGTGGTACCTACCAGGAACTGGGAGCCTCGGGCAGCCAGAGACAAACTGAGGGACATGTCCATGGCATCCGGGGACCCTGACAGGGGAGAGATGCACACCCAGGTGAGCAAATAAACTCCATTCCACTCCCAGAGGTGAAGATAGAAATGAGTATTCTTGGCTCCCAGCCCCACCCCACCCTGCTTTAACCCACTAGAGCCCCCTTCCCTCTCATAGCTGGTCACAGAACCCAGGAGTCCTGGCTCCCACCCCAATCCTATTGCTGCCCCCCACAGCACAGGGTGACCCTACTTTGGATGGGGATCTCCTGGCAGCGTCTGGAGCCCGGGTCGCACTTGTAGACTTTGCCTGTTTTATTCACGTTTCCTGTCTGTAGCGGGGCCCCGATAATCAGCCTGCGGGGAAAAAGTATGGGGGGCTCAGGTGATGCCCCAAACACCCAGGGGACTGAGGCCCAGGGGAGGCAGCCCAGCCAGACATGCCCCTCAGCGTTGGGCACAAGTCACGTGGGGTCCCATGTTCGGCCCTTACCCCCCGCCGCTGGCACTCCCGATCTGCAACATGCTCTGCCCAAACCCCTCTGCTGCCTCCTGGAAGGTAATGGGTCCCTCCACATCCACGTTGAATCCATGGCTCGGTGCCAGCACTGCAGGGGTTAAACAGTCTCCAGTTAGAGCTTCCCCTATGAAGACCAGGCCAGTGGTTGGGGCTTTCTGGCTATGGGACTGAATTCCAGCCCGCTACTCTAACCCACCAAATCCCACTCCTCTCCCAAAGTCAGGGATAGAACCCAGGCGTCCTGACTCCCAGCTCCTCACCACCTGCTCCCGGCTGTCTAGCTCTCCAGGGCTCTCCAGGGCTCTTTTATATAAATCATTCCCTGCATTCATTTGCATAGCGCCAGACACTCTCAGATTTGCAGGATTTTCCTCACCTGTGTATGTAAATAGAGCCACACCAACTTTAGACCACGCCCTGAACTGTTCATTGCTTATCAACATGGCCTCTTTTACCCTGTTTAGGTTGGCACTGGGAGCCTGTTTCACACATTTTAACAATTTCTATGTCTCTCATTGTTCATTTGTGGCCAATACTGTATCTCTCCAGCTCTGCAGTTACATTTCTCCATGTCCAAGCGTCTTTCATGTCCTCTTGTGAGCATGTCAGCTGGGAACGTATTGCTATGTAATGTCTTGGCCACCCGATGTTAATAGCCTCGAATACCCTCTGTAAACTCCCAGCATTAGCTGTAGCCTCAGCCAATTCATTCCCAAACCTTTCTGAGACTGAGCACCAGACCCCACACCCCTCTCAGAGCTGGGGATAGAGCCCAGGAGTCCTGACTCCCAGATCATTCAAGCTTCCCTTTTGTCTAGTCCTTGAAGGCCATTATACGTGAATCATACCATGCATTCATTTGCATAGCAGCAGAAACTCCCACGTGAAGACTAACTATGAGGAACGGATTTAACACTGGTAAATTAAGCCCTTGATTTATCTCTTGCTGACCCGGATTCATAAAGGGCAGCGGGGAACACTTTCTGTAGGGTCACAGGGGCAGATCAGATTTCATAGAATTACAGACCATAACGCTAGAAGGAACCACTTTGAGCATCTAGTCTGACTTCCTATGTAACACAAGCCAGAGAGCTTCTCTGAATTAATGCCTGTTTGAACCAGACTGGAACATTTAGAAAAAGATCCAGTCTTGATTTAAAATTTCCAGTGACAGGGTGTTAGACCCCCAGCAGGGGCCTTTTTACGGGATGGGGGAGCAGGCAGATACTGGACACAATGCTGGTATATAATACTTTAAATACTTTTTATGGTTTACAAAATGGATCTTATTTACTTTACATATATACCCCAAACATACTATACCAGAGCCCAGTAGTTAGATGTTTTGATTGTTAATTGGGGTTTAGTTTAGTTACATGGTGTGGGGAGTTTACAAATACCACACCATATATAAAAAGGGCTTTGGATTATTGAAAGACTTGAAATTGCAAATGTGAGAGGCTTTTATTTATAATTTACTTTGTGATGTTATTCGTTTTTGTTTTTGTTGTTTTGGGCTTTTACCCTTTGTTTTAAAGAGACAATTTTGGGCAGGCTGCCATGATCCAAGGCACGCCATTTTTATATTTTTACACATTTTTATAAGAGTTCCACTGGTGTTATTTCCTTATCTGAAGATTCTTCATTTTTTCCAAGGACATAACAAAGTTGTTTGGTACAATGTGTTTTGTACAAATAGGTTTTGACCACTCGACTTCTAAGTTCTTGCTTTGGTTGCCCAAATGCAGGTCATGCACTCATGTTTCAAACACACAACAGATTCACTAGGCCCCATAGCATATATCATATTACATATTATATCCCAACAAGGGAATCCACCATCACCCTCAGTAAATTGTTGCAGTGGTTAATTACTCTCACTGTTAAACATGTTATGCCTTATTTCCAGTCTAAATTTGTCTTGCTTCAACTTCCAAGGCAGTCTGCTAGACTGAAGAGTCCATCATCAAACATTTGTTCCCCAGGTAGGTATTTATAGACTGAGATAAGCACTCATCAGTCTTCACTTCATTCATCTAAATAGTGATCGATTGAGCTTCTTGAGTCTCTCAGGCAGGTTTTCTAATGTTTCGATCATTCTCATGGCTGTTCTCTGAACCCTCTCGAATTTATCAACATCCTTCTTGACTCTGGGCTCCAGAACTGGCCACAGGAGTCCAGCAGAGGTCGCACCAGGACCAAATACAGAGGTAAAATAAACTCTCCGCTCCTACCAAAGATTCCCCTGCTTATGCCTCCAAGGATTGGCCACAGCATTGCACCGGGAGCAACTTGGCCCAGGAAGTTCTTGGTCTCTCTGCCGAGTCTATCAATTAGTGCAGGGTGGCCTGGTAAACTTGTGTGTGGGAGCCACAGCTGAGACCCACCAAACTCTTGTCACACAAGAAACACCAAACAGACAATCAGTGGCAAAAGTGAATCCCTAACTCACAGCGTAGCCAACTCCCCTAAGGCAGAGATCTCCTCCCTTCTGCTCTCTCGATCCCTGCAAGCCCAGGCCTGGGAAGGCGAATCCCCTTGGAGCCGCCCCCTCCAGAGCTATAGGAGGAGCAGATATGGGGCAAAGTGGGGCTGGGTGGGGACTGGGGGCAAAGGAGCTGAGGGTGGGGGAGGAGCTGAGGTGGCCTCCCCCATTCTTCCCTTCATCCCCTTTTCAAGCCCCATCTCCCAGTCTGTCCCCCCTTCCCAGCCCATCCCACTCATCCTCAGCCACCCCAAAGTCTGCCCCCCTCCATTCCCTGATGGGTCCAGGCCTCACAGACAGGAGAGACGTGACATTGAAGCAGGGGGAAGTGGCTGTGGTTTTACTCAAGGACTGAGCAATTGCAAACACTGCATCCACTTCACACCTGCCGGACCCCCCCACCACACACACATCTTGCCGAGCACACATGCCCCACAGAGAAAGGGAATCACACCTGTGACCCACTCCCATCCCAGAGAGTCTGGGGGGGAACAGAACAGAGATGGAACTAGAACCCAGGAGTCCTGATTACCAGCCCTCCCCCACACAAGACTCTAGCGTCCCATTCCTCTCCCAGAACTGAGGAGAGAACCCACAAGTCCTGATGCACAGGCCTCCTGCTGTAACCCACCTACCCCACTCCTATTCCAGAGCCAGCCAAGGATAGGACCCCAGAGTCCTGAGCATCCAACTGCTCCCATCCCCCTGCCAGAGGGGTACTCGCTGGGCACCCATGTGGAGGAGTCCTGCTTTCCCCAGTCCCTCTGGCTGGCACTTACCTGCACACAGGTAGAGGATCAGAGGCAGTGGGTCCATCCTGCACTGGGTGAGGGGTGTCTATGGAGCGTGGATGCTCTCGTAGGACGTGTGAGGTTCAAGGGCACTGCCTGGAGAGGAGGCAGCAGAGTGCAGAGGAAAGAGAAGTGCTATCTGAAAAGAGAGAAACACTGCCAGGGGTGGAGGGGGGACTCACAGTGTTATAGGGCGGGAATAGAACCGAGAGGATTGGGGGAAAAAGTCAACTACACTGACACACCCGACGAGTCAGACACACACACAGCTGTGTGGAGACAGATGAAAAACAAACAAATAAAACCATCAAACACACACACACACCCTGAACTCCCCCCTCCCCCACCCCCTCCATGCCAGTGGTCAGTTAGTCATTTTCCACCCTCTCCCCCCCTTTGTCAATTCAAACACCCTCTAGTTTCAAATCTTGGGGAAAATACTACACACACCTAACCTGAAACAAACACACACGCAACCAGACAAATAGACAACTGGACAGAGACACAGACACACACACAGCTGTGTGGAGACAGATGAAAAACAAACAAATAAAACCATCAAACACACACACACACACA